CACAGAATTTCTGTCTCACCTTAAGTCTCAGGAAAAATTTAGAAAACAACAAATAGTCTAGTAGCACTTTAAAGACTATCAAAACATGTAGATGGTATTATGAGCTTTTGTGGGCACAACCCACTTCTTCGGATGAACTTAAGTCTCACTGTGACTCCCTTCTATCCTTTGTCTGCCTTATCTATTTAGATAGTATTTCCCCAATAGTGTCTAGCAAATGGGGCTTACAACTTTGTTGGGGCCTTGAGCCATGAGTGTAATAGAAATAATGTTAGTAATAAAATGGGTGTTTGCATTCCTTCCATGTCCACAATTGCCTCATGAAACCAACGGGGTGTGCATGGAATGCAGGATTCAACCCTGCACACAGGATAGTTATAATAAATAATCTTTCAAGAATCAACTTGTATTTTATTATTTTGAGAAATTTTTGTTTACTGTTTGGGATTAAATAATTATATGATCAAACTTTTCAGCCTATTCATTTTCTTTGTTGTATGTTACATGCAAAGACCATCCACAGATTGGGGTTTCTTTTTGTTTGTGGACATGGCCTTTAAATAGAAGGCAGGGCAGAAACATATGTTGGGTGGATTGTTATTCTATTTTCTTTTGCTTCTCTATTTAGCTTTATAGCTTTTTATACATCTGGATAGGTCAAGGTGTTTGTCTAGAGAAAAAAATCATTCCCACTGTAATTTTTTCTACAAATAAAATGCCTGTGCCGTGGAGCTTCAGGACAATTATTGAAAAGATGCTAAAGCAGTTTTTAGAAGAGTGTTTTAATTATGAACTTCAACGTACTGTACCTGAGTACAGTAGCTTTACAATTATAGAAATTAGAGATGGAAGAAGCCTTCTTGGCTATCTAGTCTATCATGCTGCTAGTGCATGGCAGACGTTTACAGCATATTTCACTAGTCTTACCTTAAATATCTGAAGTCCAGGGCTTTAGACCATTTCCTTAGGGGAATGATACTGCACTGTTGCCTTTTCTTAATTTTGTCCCTAAATAATAACTCTATGTTTATTACCTTCAAATGTTTCTACGTGGTTGTCAACCCTCACCTTTAAATGTCAATTAACCAAGCTGAACTGATTGTAATAATTCTGGGACCACCTAGGAATTTACTGGTGTCACTATGTTGTACAAAATGACTACTCTCAACTATGAAAACAAGCATAGAAATTGTAGCTTCTGATTTCCTAAGCACAGGCTTCTACCCAGTGCTTAATTTGTGCTAGATCTAGCTGGGGCTGAGCCCTGGCATCTCTAGGCTTTCCATTTCATAGCCTCGGTACCTCTGGTCTTTCTGAACCATTCAGAAAGTAACAGCATTGTTTGAGGCCCAGCAACTTAATGAAGCAAATTAAGCACTGCTCTTACCACCTGAGCTAAAAAGGAATTGATAATAGCAGCATCGAGCGCAAGACATACAGCGGGTTATTTCTAATTCCAACCTGTAGTGGGCAGTGACACACAAACACTCCAGTGGTCTACTACATATTCCCTTCTCGAGAGGGAGCTGATTTCAGAACATTGTGGATTCACAGGCGTTTAAAGCTTAAGCTCACAGAAGTGTAAATCATTCCTTGATACTAACACGCATCTTTGAGACTATGTAGGACTCAAGAGTTGCTGCTATTCCACACAGTGGTGATGCTCAAAACTTTACATGAGTTGGGGCTAAATATAGTAAAAGGTTACTTTGGAAAGTTGTTTTAAACACTACCAGGAAGATCCTCAGTTGGGGTTAATTATTATAGCTCTTTTGGTGTCAATGGAATTGTGACATTAGTACCAATCCCTGTGGATCTGCCACCACCATTTAATTCAGTTAAAAGTAATTCCAGCTGTGCTAGTATTGCAATATTGCAAATTGACTGACTCATGGTGGGGGATTTTTGAGAGGAAGGAAGTAGGAGATGTAAAAGCCCTCAGTAGGAAGATCATATGCCAGAATGTACAATGTCATTCCTGTGATTTGCATTTGCATTGAGTTGCCAACACTATGATATGTGGCCCGAGAGGGAAAGTGACCTGAGACACATCATTAAGTCAAGGGACTGGGCAGAGCACCATCACAACAAGGTGAGAGGGGGCAGAAGAGAGGGAATCAGAAAAACAAAAGAACATAGCCCCATATTGCTGATGTTGATGCATGAGAGGAACAGAAACTAATGTAACAGTCACAGTTGGGAGGGGAATATGTAGGTGTAATATTGCAGATGCTGTAGTTAGAAAAATTATCTTTCTAATGGCAAACTGAATGCATTTGACAAGGAATGAAAGAAACACAAGGATGTGAAACTCCACTATCTCATTTTGCCAAAGTTCCTCCTTAGAGCAGAATTGTATTTTATGACGAGATGAGATTTTACCTCCCTACCAGCACAATATCTGAGTGTACATGGAAGGAGCTAAAGATGGATAGGATAACACTCACCTGCTAACTGAGGTGCATAGCTAGTGACCCATAGAGTGGCCAGGACACCAGTCCCCTCACCTTCCCCTCCCCTCTGGGTGATGGCGGGAACAAAGGGAGAGGAATTATGCTCCTCTTGATTTCCCTTCCCCCTTCCTCCCTGGGACTGGGGTTTGCCTTTAATTGGGTCTAAGCTCTAAGCCTGTCCCACCAGCTTCCACTGCAATTGGATACCTGGGATCAAGATAGACTGACTGACTGACTGGCTCCCACTTTCAGAGGCAAAAGGAAGAAGCAGAGGTTGTTTCTGCCCACTGTTGGCTTGTCCCCATTTTGGCTTTGTTCCAGCACCACTCCTTCATGCCCTTCTTTCTGGAGTTCTTGGGCTGCTGGGGCTATACTGATCACCAGATTTTAGGGGAAATCTAAATGGGATTTTTTTTCCCGTATGGGAAAATTGAGAAATGAGCAGGAGGGATTTTTCAGTCACCTCCCATCTGGTATCTTGGAGGTCTGGTTTAAGGATTTACATTACATGGGTCACAATGTTGGCAGCAGGTGCCTGCAGATAGGAAGGGGTGCAGGGAGGGCCATCCAGAGGGGCAGGTAGGGGTGATGTGGGGACACAGAGGTGCTGCGTACCTCCCAAGTGCTACCATGAGTCACTTATGGTTGGCAGACTTCAATTCAATTGTTATATTAAGAAAGGGTACAGTGTGAGGTCTTTATAACCCAATGGGCTGACAGAACAACACTACACAGTGTGGGGATCCCCTCATCTCATATCTCCTATCTTCAGCATGGAGAAGGGGAATGGACTGGATTCTGATTTACTGCCAGTCTCTGGACAGGCCTGCGGATGTGGTACAGAAATTGCCACAAACCCATCGTTAGGTTTGTAGAACTCAGGGTTCAACTACATTCCATGCTAGAAGAGTCTGACTGGGTAATCTATGGAGACGTTTCCCAATGGTAAATAGTTTGATAAATCAGAGGCTTCCATTTAACCATTCTCTAGCAGATGTGTCTCACTACCTCGGCGTCCACATCAGCATATTAGCTGGGGAAACCCCTGCAGTCCCAGGAAGAGGGACAGGATGATTTAATAGGTGTTTTCCATTTCTTATTGCTTTGACCATATTTAGCATTGGCTCTGACTTGCAATTAAATTAATTCACCACATAATCCAATGAAACATTCCACCCACTTACATCTATTTTTGCTATTTGTCATCACTTGATAAAACACAATTTGACATTTGGGCAACTGGCTGAATTTTCACACATTCAGCTTCACGGTCTTGTCTGTCTCTTGTTTCATCAACAGGCTGAATTTACTGAGACATGTTGTGTGTTGTATAGCTGTTTGAGGTCTCTCATAGAAGTTCAGACTAAATGAAGAAAGCAGGTGAATTTCAGCACTGACAGAACCTTAATCTGGCATATATGCCAATAGGAATGTAATAGAATGCGAACAGAATCAGTGATGATAGGCAGTTTGGATTCTCCAAAATGCAACATCCACTGAGACCGAGTTGACTTTATAGAAAAAAAAGAAGTAACCTCAAATTCAAAAATACTGTAGCATTCGTTGCAGCCATATTCCCAGTTTCACTGCATCCTGTGCTTTTAAAATGATCATAATCATTTGCTTCTGTCATGCTTTGTACTGGAACAGAATCTTCCTATCGAGGTTTTGAGAGCACTACCTGTGTGCCTAATGGATCTATGACAGTATGCCACATAATTTATATTATTGTTTTTAGGGGAAGTCAGATTCTATGAAATAGCAATTTTATAGGCTTATATTTGCCATGGATCAAATACTTCTCTAAGACCAAGGTTTTCAAAAGTGAGTGCTGATTTTCAGTTATTGTGTTTTCAGGTACCTCTCTACTCAGGAGCCAAACCTGGGTCATGCAAACCCATTTCTCAAAATGTGCCTGTAAAGGATTCTGATCTGTACTGAGGTCTGCTGCCAACACGATGGCAGCAGCATTATTGGTGTTAGAGTTTTAGAGTAAACATGAGAACAAACAACCCCCAAAACAGGAACATGTTAATAATATAATATACTCAATGTTGTTGTCTTATGAATCAGGACAGTAAGTCTGCTAAAGAATGAAGGGCTAAGAATTATGATAGACATTAAAATTATGCAATTGTTTTACTGCAAGAAAATTTATTTGTTCACGCAGATTGTCATATAGTGTCTTTTTTTCTAGTCAAAATAAAAGGGAAGTAATTATCCTATCAAAGATGAAAAATTAGGGCAGCAAAAGTTATTGCAAAGCATTGAAATAATGCTGAGTTGCTCCTACACAGTGCTTCCCACAGCATCTGTAAATATGCTGAGAGCATGTTTATATAAAGATATGGTTTCTAAGTCCAAAGTGGGACCGCAGATGCCCAAACTATGACTTCTTGGAATGAAGGGGCGGGAAGGGGAAAGCAGTTGTGTAAGCATGTTTACTTTTCAGTGATAAGGATATTCTAACTTGTCCACAAGAGATGACTCGCCAGTTTAGGTCTATAAAAGTGAAGGTATTTGCACTCTAAAAAGCAGAGTTTCAGAACCCAAGAATTCAACATGATGCATCCAAGCCTTGTAGCTGCCTTCTTTTTCTTGCTGGGCTTGTCATACTGTTTGACACTGCCTATTCCTCATGAAGACAGTGATGAATTCACAACAGAAGATCTCCGGTTTGCAGAGGTACAGTATAAAAACAGTCTTCACATATTCAGATCTACTGATCAGTTGTCTTTGTTCTTTGGAAACTGGAAATATTATTTTATTTTTTCCCTAGCGCTATCTAAAGACACATTACAACCTACGTTCCAGTCCTGCTAACATAAGAAGGAAGAATGCCAACACAGTGGCAGCCAAACTTCGAGAAATGCAGTCTTTTTTTGGGTTGGAGGTGACTGGCATATTAGATGAAGAAACGTATGAGCTGATGCAACAGCCAAGATGCGGTGTCCCTGATGTGGGGGAATACAACTTTTTCCCTAGAAAACTAAAATGGTCAAAAAATAATTTAACATACAGGTAAAACCATATTTAGTGATATTGTTTTTTATTTTAAAGGTATCCTGCTGTGAAGGTATACACAGCAATTACATTGTACTGTATATCGGTTTAATAAGCTCAACAAGGTAAAAAGGGTAGTCTATACTTTGTAAATGTCTCAACTTCAGATTTTTAAATCTATATCAAAGTTCGTTGGAATCAATATGAACCTTACCATTAATTTCAGTGGGCTTCACATCAGGCTCTATCTAAATTTCTTTCATGAATTTAGTTACCCCAATATAATACAGTGGTGCCCTTAAAATGTAACTATTTGCCAGATACTTAAACAGTGGTAAATAAGAGGGTAGGGGGTGCAATTTTCTCTATGGCTGTGTCTAGACTGGCAAGTTTTTCCACAAAATCAGCTGCTTTTGCGGAAAAACTTGCCAGCTGTCTATACTGGCCGCTTGAATTTCCACAAGAACACTGTCTGAAATCGGTGCTTCTTGCGGAAATACAGTACTATGCTGCTCCCATTCAGGCAAAAGTCCTTTTGCGCAAAGCTTTTGCGCAAAACGGCCAGTGTAGGCAGCTCAGATTTGTTTTGCGCAAAAAAACTCCGATCGCGAAAATGGCGATTGGGGCTTTTTTGCAGAAAAGCGCGTCTAGATTGGCACGGACGCTTTTCCGCAAAAAGTGCTTTTGCGGAAAAGCGTCCGTGCCAATCTAGGCGCTCTTTTCCGCAAATGCTTTTAATGGAAAACTTTTCTGTTAAAAGCATTTGCAGAAATCATGCCAGTCTAGACGTAGCCTATGTGTTGAATAGGGAAATTACAGTGATATCTCTATGTAGCAAGCTGTTAACAAACATTGCTTTTGTAATTATGATAATTGTAGCTCTTTAATGCCCTCTTGATCATGTATTGTCTCTTTAGAATGGTCAGGTGCATGAGATATTTTATATCTTTTAAATATATTCATAGTAAAATATACTATGCCTGAATAAAGTCTCATATTATCTGTACAGAATATCTTAACAAAGAACTTTCAGTTTTCTGGGGTTTCTCTAGTACATAATGGCAACCCCGCCACCTAGATCCTAAGTTGTTAGGTCATTATTTCTCTGAATGATATTGCTAGATGGAAATGCATATTTTTATTTTTGGAATACTATACATTAGTAATCCAATCTTTTGTTCTGAGATAAGTGTACTCTAGCAAGAGCTTTTGACAAATGATTATCTCCCAGTCAAAAGTAAGCTTTCATGAAAGTACATTGCAATGTTTACTTGGCCCCAAAGTAAGCATAATTGAAGATATTTTATCTGATTGATAGAATTGTGAATTACACCCGAGATCTGACACGTGCTGAAGTGGACAGAGCATTCAAAAAGGCATTCAAGGTTTGGTCTGAAGTGACACCGCTGAACTTCACTAGAATTCGTAGTGGTACTGCTGATATTATGATTTCCTTTGGAACAAAAGGTAACAGAGGAAGATTACTTTTGAGAAGTTTATACAGTATACTCACCTATTTATAAAAGAGATGTAAATTCTGTTGGCATTTTATTTGTTGCTTTATAGAACATGGTGACTTTTATCCTTTTGATGGACCATCTGGATTACTAGCTCATGCTTTTCCTCCTGGCCCAAATTTTGGAGGAGATGCCCATTTTGATGATGATGAAACCTGGTCAACTGATTCCAGAGGTAACATACATTCTAAAGATCACTTCAACCAGAGCTGGGTGCACTATTTGTTATGAATAACATAGATGATACATTTTGTCCCTTCTGGACAGAAAATCATTCACAAACATGCCCTGATTTCATAAAATGTGTTTGCCATTCAGAATATTTGCCAGATACTTTGGATGGATCATTTTCAGCTTGCAAATTGTTTGTGAACAGTTTTGTTTTGACTACTACTGAAGTCAGAGGGAGCTGTTTTTAATCCCAGATTGTAGATAGGAAAATGGTACGTGTTTTGTATGAAGTATGGGAAAAATAATTATTTGTGTTAAAATGTGGGATTTGCAATTCTTTTGTGGAATACCTGTCAGTTGTCTGAATGACCAGAATTATGAATCACATGACCCATGATCCCAGAGAAACAAGGCAGTTTGGGGTTTTTAAATTATTGTTCCACTTGCATTCTGAGGGTGCCCATCTCAAATCTCAGACAGATGGCGTGACCCCAATGAGAGCAATGGGAAGTTGTAAATACCATATCTGAAAATCAGGCCACTTTTAGGAAGTTTGAAAATATTTGCCCTTGTCTGCACAAGGAGCCATTGGTGGCAAGCCAATCCAGTTGTCACTAAAATTGTTTCAACAATGAGGAGACCTGTGGCATATTGAAAGACTATCAGATTTATTTGGGCATAAGCTTTTATGGGTAAAAACTACTTCATCAGATGCATCTGACAAAGTGGTTTTTACCCACAAAAGCTTATGCCCAAATAAATCTGATAGTCTTTCAATATGCCACAGGTCTCCTCATTGTTGAAACAATTTTAGTGACAACTGGATTGGCTTGCCACCAATGGCTCCTTGTGCAGACAAGGGCAAATATTTTCAAACTTCCTAAAAGTGGCCTGATTTTCAGATATGGTATTTACAACTTCCCATTGCTCTCATTGGGGTCACGCCATCTGTCTTCACTGTTCCTATTTCGAAATAGCCCCTCACCAGGGCCATTCTAAGTTATTCCTCCCCAGTGTCTCTTGGGGCTCTAAACTGAGATAGCATGTCTACATTAGGGAAGCCTGCCTTGGACTAATTTGGAGGCTTCCCTGCAATGTAGACATGCTATTTCGAAATAAGCTATTTTGGAATAACTATTCTGGAATAGCTTATTTCGAAATAAGCATGCAGTTATGGTGCCATAGAACTCTTCATTTTTGCAAATACAGACTAAAGTGGCTACCCCTCTGCAGATTTTTTCAACTGCTGATGGTGTTTTCAGCACTGAGTCATCTAGCTATACTGGGAACAGATTTAATTGATCCAATGCTTCAATTAGCATTGACAGTCAATGCCCTGTGTGTGGAATTGTGGCAAAATTCCCACTGACTCTAGTGGATGAAGATTTCACCCTACAACTTCCAACATTGCTCAGACAGCTAAGTTGAACTGGGATTGGTGATAGTGAGAAATTTTTCAAATACAATTAAGTGTGAGAAAAATGTAAGGGGCAGACAAAATTCCCATTCTCTTGAATGAAGATAATAAGGATTGGAATGTGAGTCTCAGCATCCCCATCTATAAAATGGAGTTAATAATATTTAGGGTTAATTATTTCATGTATGTTCACTTCTTAGAAGAGACCTGTATAAATGCTTTATCATCAATGCAAAAAAGACATTGTAAAAGAGGATCAGGCAATAAACCACATTCAAATACACATGTATATTGTTTTAACAAGAAAGTTTGCTTTTGTTTTGCTTTCTTATAGGATACAACTTGTTTCTGGTGGCTGCCCATGAGTTTGGTCACTCTTTGGGGCTTGAGCACTCCAGAGACCCAGGAGCTCTGATGTTTCCTATTTACACATACACGGGCAACACTGGCTTCCTGCTTCCAGACGATGATGTGCAAGGGATTCAAGCTCTCTATGGTTTGTCTTCCTTTTGCCACTTCATCCATCTACCCTGGAATGTACATGTTGCACTGCAGTTTAACTCAGTGTTAGCAAACTGCTGCTGGCGATCCGATTGCTCAATGGTCACTACCATGGTAAATTAAGACAGAAACCTGGATCCTGGGAACCAGGCCTCCAGGTCAGAAGACACCCACATTTAGCAGTCAGGGAGAAACTGTAGCATGCAGTCGCTAGTGCACAGGTGATTGGTTTTAGCTGGCTATTTGTTATAGTGGACATACAGTCACTGAGCTGTCTGACATGGGAGGATGGTCAAAAACTATGAAGTAGGGGAAACAGAATTGTGCATTAGGGAGATCTTGGGAGGAAGGAATCTTCTTAGAGTCCCCAAAGATATGGTGTCCAGGTATTTTTATCCACAGATATCTTTGCAACATAACTAAACCCCAAAACGTAGGGCCATGATTTGCCAGAGGAAGAATAAGAAGAGAAAGTGAATACCATCAGTCCAGACAGTTTGTATTCATGGTTGTATTTATTTTGATTCTGGTGGACTCTTCAGCATCCCATTTAGTGCAAGATTATCTTACATGGAAGGAGAAGAATAGCAGTGACAGCTAAGTTATAATTTATGGTTACAGGTGCAGGAGGCAGAGATCCCCACCACAAACACCCCAAAACTCCAGAGAAATGTGATGAAAATTTGTCACTGGATGCAATAACAGAACTTCGAGGAGAAACGATGATCTTCAAGGACAGGTGAGATGATACAAATGATGGAATTGTGGTTTACACATACCGCATTTTCTGGCGTATAGGGCGACTGGGCGTATAAGATGACCCCCTATCTTTTTAATTAAAAGATAGGGTTTCATCTTATACCCCAGTGCCCCTCCGCCTCCTTTGCTCCCGGTGTCCCTGGTCTGCTGGAGATGGTCCCCAGCAGACCAGAGGCACCGGGAACAAAGCCGC